ATTATAATAATATGGTAAATATACAATATTTATATTTTAAACATATTTAGCAAAAAACATAGGTTTCTGTAAAGTATGTAATCATGATGATTTTTGAAATATGTTAATTAGAAATTGTTCTTATACTAATTTCTTTACTTACTTTGAGCCTGAATTGATAAAATATTCATTATTTGCATTGTGATCAAAAAAAAAAAAAACTTCAACATTTGATGGTATTAATTATGTAAAATGTAATTAGATTAAATTACCATTCAGTATTTTATAGAACCACCGATCATTATCTTCAAATAAAGATATTCCTACTCGATCATCACATTCTTGCTTTGTCGGGGAAATATAATTTATAATTTTTTCAATAATTTCACATGATTAAGCCAACATACAGTATACAAAAATTTTCTACAAAATCGTCCGGAATGGATTGCGGTATTGGCGAAGAGCTGTTAATAAACAGACCAGGTTCAATACCGGCCAAGGGCTTCTCAGGACTCATACAAAAATGATTTTGGTTTTAAATTATTAAAATTACTTTCTGAGAACGTAACGTTTCAATAAAAATTGCCCTAAAAAAATATTCATTGTATGATGAGTTGGATATTTATTGAAAGTTAAAGATTTTTTCAAAAAAATTAAAAAATGGAAGATTATGAGTACTTTGTACGTGTCTCTATTCCCCAGAACTTGCTAATGTGAGCAGGCTGTATCTCTCATCAAATATCTGCTAGTAAGATTAGATTTATGTAGAATAATTACTTTATCGATAAACTGGTTTTTGCTTTAATATTTTTATATTTTCAACGTTTTCATTATTAAAGAAGGTGCTGAGAAACAACCTCACCCAGTTGAAAATATTGAGCACACTTGCACTAATAGTTTAACATATCAGAATTTGTTGTAGAGATATTTTCGATTCGCTGTTGGTAAATCAACTTAAAGTTTTCATGTTTGGCTTCTGATTTATTAAATTAGTGTAGCCCGATCCTTTTTTTTTGGGTTATCAACGATGATCTGGGAGGGCATAAATCACAATGACACTTGGTTTCATTGCAGGTCGAAAAAAGGCCTCTACGTAGCATTTGTTCGAAACTTTTGCGCTCATTGTAATTTAAAAATATTATTATTATGTTTATTTTTTTTAAAAAAAAACACGATTGCTCAATTTCTTTATACACTTTTTTTTTTCTTAATCGTTTAAGCTTTTTTTTTATTTATTTAATCATAAAAGCTTTTTTTTATTTATCTAATCATAAAAGCTTTTTTTTTTTTATCTAATAGTAGAAGCTTTTTTTATTTATCTAATAGTATAGGCTTTTTTTTTTCTTTATTAAAAATCATATAATGGTCGCAAAAATTGCAATTAATTGTTTAATTGTGGCTGCGCCACGAATCAATTAATTGAATTTAAATAATTGCAATTAATTGCCTTCACAATCAATTATTCGGTAGGCCTGGTATAGAGATACGAACTATAAACTATTAAACTAATATAGTTTATAATTCTCATCTCTAAGCTTAATGCCATTCATATAAAGTACATTTCGTTTTCTCGTTTATTGCTTTAATATTAACTGTTAATCATGTTATTTTAATGAATCACACTTTTTTAAGCTAATATAGTCATGAATTATCAGACATGTACTAATCTATCATAAAAAATAGTTAATTACAATTTTTATCGTAGAGATACGGATTCGTTAAAAAACTGTAATATAGAGTTATTTGGCAAGCCATCATAGTAGAATATTGTATTATTTTAACCGATCATTGTATTGGATCAAATCTCTAAAGTTTATAGGATCCGTTCAAATTATTTATACATAAATTATTTATAAATAAAACTTCTGCTTAACCAGTTTTATTTAAATTTGGATCGCATCTCTTAATTCTTTTATTTTCGTGTAAATTTTTATTTAAAAAAATCGATACATTATATCTAATCTCATATACTGCATAAAAGTATATGTAAAGAGATTCATTATTCACTTTAAAACCTTTAATATCATTTCTTCCATCCAATAAAAAAATAAAAAATTATTATAAAAGACGATGTGCAGCAAATGTGGAAGTCAAGATCATATTTTCAGGTATTGTCCTGAAAATGAATGCAGGAAGTGCAATGAAATGGGTCACATTGAAATAGATTGCAAGAAAAAATACACATGTAGATGCAGCAAAGAAGAAATTGAAAAGCGACGGCTATATTATTATAGTAAAATGAGGACTAGCCATTGTTGTAAATGTAAAGTGCCACAGAAGCCATTGGAATTAAGAAAATTAAATGGAATTAAAACGTGCAAAATATGCTATCAAGACTTTCACGAAAGAATTCTCGAAAAAAACGATCCACGAAGAATAGCATATTTCACAAATGGTGAAGGAAAAGGTACATTAGAAAGTTGTCAAGTGTGCAAAGAAGAAAACCCAAGGCATAATATGTATAACATATCACCTGACCATTGGTTTTGTAAGCTTGAACATATGTACGCATGGAAGGTAATTGAAGACATCAAATTCAATAAAAACTACAATCTAAAAACTAGGATAAAGCACTATACCGAATCAAATAAGAGTGCAGGAAGTCAATATAATCTTAATAAAAACAAGATCTTGATGGTTGCCCTTAATTATGTTACTGTGCAACAATTAATAGTCAAGGAATGATTTGTATTTTAATAAATAAATAAATTGAATAAAATAAAATGAATTAATTATATGGTTTAAAGATATATATATTTTTTTACAATTTAAGTGTTTTATTATAAAAAAATGAATTACACGTAAATGTAAAATAAGAATTTCGTTAAAAATTTTACAATTAAAAATTAATTTCCTCAAAAAATTTTTCAATTTTGCCCTATGTTATTAGAGCAAATAAATTTTATTTTAATTATCAGAAATAAACAATTTATAATCAAAAGAATTTGAAGAGATTACACATCATGTAGAAAATTATTGTAGTAAGTTATAAGTATATTTTTATTGTAAAATTTTTAAAAACAATACCATTTCCCTATTTCGATACACTTAACGCGATCCGAAAACAATGATCAGCATAAATGAAACAAACAATACTACAATAGGTCGTGGCGTGTCAGTTGAAGGCGCAAGTGCCGGGCATGGTGCCGAAAAAACATAGTGCCTGCGTGTAGAGATATGACCCATTATTCACTGATTATAAAATCTATTGAATACTGGATTTTATTAAATAATTTATATTCAGGCGTTGAAATAATTTTCGTCAAAAAAAATCACTTATGAATATATAATACAACTTCTTATAAAAATATTTCTTCCATTTAATAATCGATAAAAAAATGAAAAGAAACAAATACAATTTCGTATTATTCAGCATTAGTGACATTAGTAGTATCATTTTCATCTTTTTCGACTTCTGTTTTGATATTAACTATTTTGGTCGCAATTGTCAACAAGGTTAAATTAAACCCTAATCCTGCCAAAATTATAAAATAAAAATTATCTATTTTTATCTCCGATAAAAATACTGTATTCCATTTCACAAACCTCAAATATGTTATTTCAACTAAAAAGCTTATCTAACGAGTCACTTGAACCAGCACTTATTTTTTGCCATAGAATTGAGTTAAAATTGTGGACTGGTGATGTTGAAAAGGAAGCTAAGATATTTTATGACGCAATTCATTCCGCATTGAACGATGACTCACTCGAGGAACAAAGAAAACAAAAACTAGTGCTTCTTAAAGAAACACCTGACATCGTAAGCATATATTTTTTATGAATTTCTGAATGTTATTTTTACATAAGTGATGAGCTAGAAAAGATCTTAAACAACCACAGTTCAGTAGGAATGTAGTTACAATCGCAAGTATTTTTATAACAACTGCGATTCAGTAGGGATATAAATTTTTTTTAAATATTCCCGAAGTGGGGTCGTCCTTGTTGTAGTCTGTGAACTTGCGTATTTTCATTCTGAAGTAGGGCTGTCCTTGTTGCAATACTCCCGGGAATTAAAAGTGCATGCAAATTTGTCTGATTTGTTTAAATTAATTATTAAGAATAATTTTTTTACATTGTATCTAACATTTTATTATTTTTTTATTATTTTTAGATTAAAAGTGTAATTTCAACGGTGAATTCATTGCATGCAAATAAGATGCTTGTTACCTCTTCGCATAAAAAAAAAAAAATTGCAAGATATTTCTACAAATATTTCAAATTTAAAGCGAAGTGTGGAAAGTATTAAACTTAAGATAATTGTTTTTTAATGAGGTTTTTGAATAATGTATGTGGTTAAAAATTAGAACCGAATTCTTTGTGGAAGCTGTTCTGATAAAGAACGTGAAGCTTATCAAGATATTTTTAATGCCTTGGATAAATTAACTCTGAAGTGTGATGATAATGATTGTGATTCGTTAAGTCTAGAAGTCATAGACATTTCCTCTAAGTGGGCAAGCAAATTCAAATACACCACGGTTAATTTTGTTAAAGTAAGTAAATTTTAGTTAATATATACCGGTAGATTTGGAAACTAATTATATCAATTATAATAGGGTGTGTTTTCTAAAAAATTGGAGTTGGAAGTAGCTGTGGTAGAAGAGTGTAAGAAAGTTATTCAAGAACAAAACGACTCTGTACTTAAATGGATTATTTCTGAAAGTTCCGTAGCCTCCTTGGGTCAATGGGTAGAAAATTTAGAGTCGCGAAAAAATGTTCTCGAAACATTATCAATTGTTTGTATGTATTATCAAAATTATCTATATAAGGATAAAATAATATTAATTTGATTCCTTATTAGAAATGATATTTGGAAATTGGATAAAGATTGGAATAAAAATCAATCCGCATTGTTATTAGTGCGGGTATTATTCTTCAGACTTTTTGTGCATTTATCAATATACATTCTTCCATTAAATTAATGTTATTTAATTTTACTCAGAATATAGTTACTGTTGTAACCCATAATTTGAAGGCAGTTAAAAAGGCAAAATTAATTAAAATAAGCACGCACTAATGTAATTTATATTTTTTTAATTAAAGTATTAGAGAAAAGAAACTTAAATTTTATTAAATTAATATTTGAAGATAAATGCACAAATCATTATATATCTATTTTTTTTGAGGTGTTTATCTAAAATTGCGAATGAAAAATAGGCGGTTATATTAATGATATATTTGTAATTATTTTTGATCAAAAGTTTTTATTATATTTCATATAGCGGCTATATTAACAATTTCAATATAATGAATGATATTTTGTTAAAGCATTAAATTTATAATATTATATATTTTTGCTAGTGCTATCATCTGATAAAAAATGAAATTCTGTATAATATCTATTAAAAATCTGAAACTGTCATGTCAGCAAATTCTTCAGCTTCTTCAGTGGAATATTGATTTGAAGTATCATAGATATCAAATCCAAATCCATCATATTTTAAATTTTCACTCAAATCTTGAGCAGAAATTTCAGATATATCATCTTTAACTGAAGTATTTAAAAAATTTAGCCATTCATTTGGATATTCTGCATCCTTTGTTGCATCTTCACACCATTTATAAAGAGTTCTACCATTTAAAAATGCTATGATAGTAATTGATATATATATTGTTATTACTTAAATTTATACTAACTGGGTCCAATACCTACGCGTACTTTATCGGATATCATTCCGAAATGGGGACGTCTAAACTGCATCATTCTCTCAATGATAATGCATGAAACAAAGAAATAAATCTTTTTATAATGTCTATATATATTATATCCCGATTACAATTATAAGCCAAATCATAAGAATTGTTTTAAAATACAATCGATTTCTCTGCTCTCGAAAAAAAATCATGAGACCCCAGTCCTGCTTCCTTTTATTTTAATGTTGATAGAAATTTCGTAAATTATGATAAAAATGTATGGAGTTTAGTTGGACATTTGATAAATTATTTTGATTTTTTCATTCAATCAGGTCTTTATTTAAGAACCGTAGGAATGAAATAACTTTCACTTCAAATTTTTTGTTTATAAAAAACTTTATTATATTGATTAGCCGTGTTTCATCAATTCAGTATTATTATGATTATGAATTACTTTAAACTTTTAAATCAAGAGAAATCTTACATGTTTTGTGAATTGCGATGATTTAATTATTGCCGAATAAGAGAAGTGTTAGAATCAATTCTCTTCTAAAACATATTTTAGGCTAGAAATTGACTAAAAATCGGCTAGTCGTTTATAATAATGTAGAAGTTGGCTCATTTAGGTGATAAATTGGCAAATAGCGAATATAATATAAGGAACAGAAATGTTCGGAGGCATAGACAGGTATACAAGTACAAATGAGTTTTAGAGCATTAAATAGAATCTCACATTTTATTTTAATCCGATTTCATTATGAAATTCGTTTCTTATCGTTATTGTTTAAAATGTTACTTTGAAATTTTTCTTAATGAAATAAAAAAATTTAATATACTTGTTATTTAACACGAAAAAGAATATATTTAATAATGAAAATGAATAACGGTTTGCTGACTCTCGAATCTGAATAAGATTAATAAACAAATAATATATGTATTTCATACAAAAACACTTATAATTCCATATTAAGTAAAAATTAATGTTATTTTATCAAAGTAAAATATATTTACATGACGAGTTAATTCGTTTGCAAGTAAATGTAAATGCTTTTGCAAGTACAATTACATTTCCATGAACGAATTAATTCATTGTATGTAAATGTTAATATTATTTATATCAAATACTAGTCAATTACATTTTCATGAACGAATTAATTCGTTTGCAAGTAAATGTAAATGCTTTTGCAAGTACAATTACATTTCCATGAACGAATTAATTCATTGTATGTAAATGTTAATATTATTTATATCAAATACTAGTCAATTACATTTCCATGAACGAATTAATTCGTTTGCAAGTAAATGTAAATGCTTTTCCAAGTACAATTACATTTCCATGAACGAAGTAATTCATTGTAAGTAAACATAAATGCTATTTGTATCCGATACTAGGCAATTATATTTCCATGAATAAAAAATATACATTATTAATCTAGCTCATAGTCAGAATTTCTAGGCGTCTCCCAATCATTCTCAGCATCTGATAGTTCCTCAATGTTTTTTTCTATGTATGAAGATAAAGCTTCTTCTATAGATGACGTGCTATTTGAATCAGGCGGAGGATCTCTCGGGCTACTTGAAGGAGTAGGATTCGTAATTGCACATCCATCCAACAATATTTTTGCGAATTTTGTATCTTGTATTATATTTGGATTGCTTCTCGCCTTTTGTTTTAAGTATTCATACAGTCCTTCAACAAATTTAGAGATATTATTGACATGCCTCTATTTTAATATAGAAAAATAGACAATTAAAATAATAAATATAATAATCAAAATAATAATAAATTATTTAAATTAACAATAATAATTACACATAATTCATTTGAAACTCTTAAATATTGGTAAAGATCTTCGGTATCTTTCTTTTTATAAGGAATGTTAAATTCACATAAAGGTCTTGCTCTATACACTTGATTGCCAGGGTGATCAACTGTCCAAATATACCATTTCATTCCTGTTCAAAATACAAAATAAGATTATTAATTATTATATAATTTAAACCATAAAATTTCAATTACACTAACCATGTACATGAACATAATATATTTCTAATTGATTATAAATATTATAAATAACATGTTTGTCTATCCATTTTCCGTACTTTTCGACCAAATTATTGACAAACTTTTCGTAAGAATCTTTACAAGATCTAATACCTCTTCTAAAATCCCACAGATTTTTCTTATTATTTCTACGATGCGGGGGGCCCACAACTTCTATTACCATTAGATCCATATTTAATATATTCCTAATTATTAAATCAACACGATGACCTCTATCGGATTTGGAGACTAATTTTTTTTCGTCATACAACCTTTCCTTTTTCGCATTGATTTTACGTTCTTTTGATCCTTTTGATGTAATATCGATACTAAAAATATAAATATAATATAATAAATTAATTATAATTCATTCAAGAGATAAAATAAATAAATAAATAAAATAAATCTTCATACGGAAAAGAAAAAAGATTATATTTATTTAGTTTAAAATTCAACTTAAATACTTCGTGTAAATAATCTGCTATATATTGACCTTCACTGATATTACTATCAGGTAATAAAATTAGTGTTCTCCATAAAATTCTTCTATAAATATAAAATAAATATTATTATATAACTATATAGGTTTTTAAAATACTTTTTTATACAAACATACTTACAATTTTATTAAAGCTTTATAATAAAATTTTAACTCGACATGTCGTAAATTATCATCAGGTGGACGAGGCATTTTACGATCATCGTTAATGATATTATTATCATCACATAAAAAATCAGCTAATTGATTCAAATAATTGGAGATAGTAATGTCTACATCAATATGAAATGAATGATTTTCATTAATCTCTTTCCATTCATCATCTTTTAATATTTTCTTTAAAGGTGAATTATCAGAACACTCGATGATATTTGACATTTCTGGACTAATAAAAATGTAATATAACAGTTACTATTACAATTAATAGAATTTTAACATGTATATAATACTTACACATTAAAAAGTGATTTTTCATTCTTGAATTTTCTATAAATTATTTCAAGATATTTCGTCACATTTCTTCCAGATTCAAAACAATATTCTAAATCCTATAAACGTACAATTTGTTAATACGCTAATATAATAAAACCTTATATTTATTATTACCTTTATATTATTAAATATACGGCCATTAGCTTTATTATATTGACGTATAGGAAAATCTGGAGTAATATGTATATTTTCTAATTTTTTTATCATCTCTTCATATTGTCTTTTTTTCTCTTTGTTATTGAATGCCTCGACCGCAAACCATTTATTATCATAACTATCATCTTTTATATCCCTCTGCAAAAATCAATATATTATTATAAAATATTATATAAATAACAAAATTAGATTTTTAAATATTACATCAAAAGCTTTTGTATATTGTTCGATTGATTCTCTTGGTAAGTATTTTTTAATTCCATTTTTGTAAATAAGATGTTCAGTACTCTTCGTAAATGAAAAGTCATTGCATGTTATTCTATAATCTAAGAAATGGTTTATATTCCATAATTCTTTTTTGTATTTTAAAAAGTAATTACTACTATTGTTGTTAACATTAGTTTCTGTCATTTTTGAGAAAATACTATCGATCGGCAGGCAATTTATGACGATAATCTAAAATCTGAGCATGGCATGTTACACTGGGGTATATATATATATATTTATTTATATATAGTATATATTGCAGATCTTTAAACTTAATAATATCTTACTTTACAGAAACCTGTATATTTTGATAAATATATTTACAGGATAGTTAAAATATGGTTAAAATATTGTTAAAATATTGTTAAACTATTAATATTCTATTAACTTACTTATAACCACCTTTTTAATAGCTCGTTATTAGCGGTCAAGTGTAATGTCAGAAAATTTTCAGGGTAATGATTTAATTAAGGGATTTGCAAGTTGCAGCACATATCGTTAATAAAAAAAAGATACATTTGTATTTTTTTAGTAAGTTATTACCGTAAAACCGCGAAATAACGCCGAGCACTAAATTAAGCCAAAATTGGCGAAAAATAAAATCGAATATATTAGATCATTGCATTCTTAAGAGGGTTTGCTAATTATTGTAAAAATATACGATATATTGTGAAAATCAAGACGTCCAAAGTTATGACATTCATAGTCTTTTACGTGTTAATATCGAAGCTCAATTATTTATTTATGATTTTTAAAAATCAATTTTCGTGCATTATACAATCTACATACCTTCGATATTATTAATTGAGGTATAGATAACACAAATAACATGCATTAGTAAACCGCATGCTGTGTCAAAAGAATAACGGTAGGTTTGCTGCAGAAGTACTAACGATAGAAATTATTGAAATAGTAAATAATTCCTGTAACAAGTAATGCTCGCAATAGAAATTATGATAATCCCAATGTCACCTTAACAACATATTGTAGTTATCAAAATAGTAAGTGAATTTGCAGCCGCTTATGATAGAAATCACGTTAATTAAATACAAATAACTCACATTATCCGACACGTCCTATGTGATCATTGAATGATTTCCGTATAACTTATTCGGTCACCCTCTAATACAATATGCAAAATTCACTCACCTCTTAAGAGGTGAGTGAATTTTGCATATTTGTATTAGGAGATGACCGAATAAGTTGCACGGAAATCACTCAGTGATTACGTCAGACATGTCGGATAACAAAGTTATCAATCAAGTCTTTAGTAGTACTTAACCAAGTCACCAGAATAGCAAGTCTGCAACAAATAATTCATAATACTGTAGAAACTACAACAATTTCAACACAAACTACTGTGACCCAGACTTAATCGTAGATTTTTTTTATAGTACTAATAATGTAAATACGATAATTCAAATGCAAATTATTTCATTTTAACCACATATTGTAGTCACCAGAATAGCGAATAAGTACTATAATAAATTTTTTTTTGTCGCTCAATTCCAATACAAACTAACTCATCTTAACCACAAGTAAGTTTGTAATGAAATTATTTACAGTAACTCACAATATAAATCATGACAATTCCAATGTAAATTAACTTATCTTAATTACATATTGTGGTATTATAATCATAAGTTTGCACCAGAATTATTTACAATAGCTTACAATAAAAATTATAACTTTCCAATGTAAACTAACTCGAATTTAATCGCATATTATAATCACTAGAATAATGAGTAAGTTCTGTAACCGAATTTTGTTTGCAGTAGCACGCTATAAAATAATGTTAATTCTAATGCAAGTTAACTCATCTTATTCAGAACAATGAATAAATCCTATGACAGAATTTTTTCAGTAGCTCATAAACAAATCATATTAATTTATAATAAATGCAAACCAAATCACTTTTAACGCTTATTGTGGTTACTAGAATAGCAAGTATTTTCTGTAACAGATGAATCACAACAATTAGAATAGCTAGTAGGTTTTGTAATAGAATTTTTTAAGTAATTATTGATAGAAATCACGACAATTCTAATGCAAACTAACATACTGTATTTTAATCACATATTATAATTTCTAGAATAATAAATAAAGTATATTATATCGATTTAGCAATTAGATAAACATGATAAAATTCTGCAATTAAATTTGCATAGCATAAGAATCAATTAAATTGAATATTCATCTATCGAGTAGTTCTGTAAATTAGAATGTGGAATATCCAGATTTCGCGAAGTAAATGCTTCAAAACTAAATACCTTAATCACCATTTTGCATCAATTTTTTTTTCATAAATATTCAAGCTGATAAGGTTAAAGGAATCTATTCTTAAAGTTTCTTTGAATTCTCTTATGAACAACTTATCGCATCATATTTATTTTTTAATGCCTTTACGTCGTTGGGACTAACAGTTTACGAAAAAATAGCTTAATTATCGCAAAATTACAAATTAGCTTATAATTTGTGGTTTTAACAACCATTTTTTACTTAATTTATTTAATTTTTACTTTTTAAACTATCATTGTTGGGCGACTGTATTTTAGGGTGCACAGAATTCTGCGGTGCATAATTCTGCTCGCTCTGAAACATTTTTTTGTATTGTCTCATAAGATAAACGTGACTTTAATCTTTTTTTTTAAACTAAATACATTACAAAAGATATTTTTAAAGCGAGCAGAATTATGCACCGCAGAAATCTGGACAATCCACTGCATTTATTGATAAAATATATTTTTATTTAACATTAATTCAAGTAACATTTTCCCTCTTCGATAGTTTTTCTCATTCATTTCAGAGTCAGGCTTTTCATCTTCCAACAAAGTAATCTTATAATTATAAAGCTAACTATCATAAGCAATAATAACACACGAAGTTTAAAAAATAAAATCTGATGTTAATAATTTGTAACAGGAACATATCTAGTTTACTTGTATTAATGTATCAATAATAACGAAAAACCCAATTTTCAATTGATAATATGGTCAGCCAAATAATAAACGATCGAGTAAGAAAAAAAAACATAAAATGTATCGTAAGTTTTTTGTAATTAAGTTAACCTGAAAAAATAATTATCCATTTTTCTATGACAATAATACAATTACAATAAATATGAAATGTTCTAGAATGAATAGAATTATCATTGGTATTTATCACATACACTTTTGGTATTATAGAAAGTGTGACACTACCAGCACTTCCCTCTTACCTTAACACTAACTAGCCCTAACTCTAACGCTTAATTAAACTTCAAAAATCACATGGGTACATGACTTTAGCCAGCCATTAACGTTAAATTTACTGTTACGTTGTTTTGATTTCATAAATCTGACCAATAGAAAATTTTATTTTATTTGACCAATATGGTAATTTACGTTGTTTTGATTTTCATCAATCTGACCAATAGAAAAATTTATATGACCAATAGGGTAATTTACATTGTCATTGAGCGCTGATTATTGATGCTTCTTTGAACTAGTTTTGCAGAACCGATATTGATTGAATTGTTAATAAAGATATTTCGTTTAATGTAAATTGTTTATTAGGTGAATTTGATTTTTTGTTGGTGACGTGTTCTATTTGCAAAAGTATCCACTGATGTGGCAACTCCCGGTGACACATTTGATGACATTGATTGGCTATACACGGTGAGATTGTTCGGCCGACATTATGAGGAAACTTTTGTCACGGTCACGTGACCCCATCTCTGCCTACGTTAAGGCAGAGATAAGGTCATGTGAGTAAAGAAAAAAATTTATCTATCTTTTTTGAATCGTGATGAGAATAAAATCGAAAAAATCGTAAATATTCATATAGTTCATATTATTAGAAAACAAAAAATAGTAACGTAAAACGTAAAGCTTATAAAAAAAAATAATAATATCCATGAGTGTGAAGCTCAAGGAAGAATATTAAGTGAGTAAATTGAGAATGGCCCGGCGGGCTCACAATCTCGACCGGCCCGGTGGGCGCACAGTCAGAAGTAAAAAGGTAATTAAAGATGTTTGGTGAAAAACAAAAGGTTTTCTTTCTTTAATCAATTACCAAGATAACTTTTCCTCAAAAAAGAGAAAAAACATTATTAACACCATATTATATTCAAAACAATAATTAATTGATCTTTATTCTCTAAAGAAAAATTATAAAGAGGAAAAAGAAATATTTAAAAAGAATAATAGACAAAAAACTCTCATCAGACATATGTTGCAAATTTCAATTGCAATATCATCATATGAAAGCAATATATAATATAATGATAGCGGCCAACGGACACACGAACTAATTTAAAGTATACCGTTTATTGGACCATATCAAATTATACTGTAGAGTGAAGGTAACCAGAAATGTTTTCGTTTAAAACTATTTTATTACGTTAGATTTAAATAAACTTTTATTTTTAACTGTTTAATTTGAATAGGTACAAGCTCGTTAACAAGAAGATCCGGGCTTAATATTTAAATTTGGTCGGTTTTTGTAGTGTGTTTGAGCTTGTCAACCGTGAATTAATAGTTAAAGTTTTAATAGGTTTAATTATATCTTATATGGTAGATTCTTTAATAGTTTGGGTTTATTAGTAATAAATATCTTATTTACCACTTTACGCGTATCTATCTATTTCCTACATTTCAATAATAAATTCTTTCGCGTATTTATTAATTTGTAAGCTTCTTTATACGAAGTTTCTTTCGTTTTAATATCGTAGTATTAATTAAAAATTATGCATTTGATTGGTTAATTATCACGGGAAATCACGGGTAGATCTAAAAAAATCAATCGATTATCTGTGCAAAAGTTACGTTTTTGTTATTACATATTTATTTAAATCAAAAGAGTAACCTCGAACTTTTGTCACACGTGACAAAAGATTCGAAGTTACTCTTTTTGATTTTAACAAATATATTAAATCAAAAACGCAACTTTTCGAACATTTCATCATTGGCTAACTTAATCAAATCGTGTGCGTTTAACTTAGCAATTAAATAGTGTAATAATTTCATTTGCATAGGTCCACCATATCGATATACTGTATTTATTTCTCGTCTTCTAATCTAATTTTAAACTATCGTACTACAAGTAATAATTCCCAGTGGCGTTATTTTGGATTTTGGCCAGAATTAAGCTTAATTTAGGCCAAAATGTGAAATTATACCCATGGGCTGGGCGTTAGGGAGCAACATATGAGGTTGTCAATAGAAATCATGCAAATCTTTTTTAATGAGTTTTTTTAAAACTTTAAGCAAAGATAGCTTAACAAAAACTTAATCAAATTTAATAAAAATTATTTAAAAAAGTTTTATTAAATTTGGTCAAGTTTTTGATAAATTGTTCGCCATACGAATTGTCGTTAAGTGCAATACAGCTAGTTTTTTTTAATGCAAAATAAAAGAATTTGAATATCTGATTTAATTTTATAATTATATCTCGTTTATATGTATTGTATTTTTAAATTGAAATTTAATTATCGCAGATTCAAGAAAATTACATTGTTGTTTCTTGACCACATTTAAAAACATAGTATTTTTCAGAATAGGAATAATTGCCAATTCACAAATAAGAATAAAAAGAAAATAGAGAAATTTGAGATAAACTTATCAAACAAAAGAAAAAAGGTTTCTGATTATTCACAATAAAATTTTCTTCAACCACCAAAAAGCTTATAAGCGTTTTTTAGTCTTTTATTTTCATCTTTCATTAGTTGGTCTACGTCGGTGGCCCCTCCAACTGGTTTTCTGCGCTTTTTGTTCAGTAATATTATTATTATTAAAAATATTACTAATATTACAATTGCAGATATTATTCCTCCTATGATTATGTCGTCCATTCACTTCGTTGATTTGTTTCTCGTTTCAGTAATTTCGTCTGCTAAGTTTAATTTTTAAGTGTTTTGGGATTACGTGAGTACAAGGCTTTAGTGAAAAATTGATGTTTATTATTTAAACACTACAGAAAAGAAGGTAATAAATGATGTAATTTATTAGATTTTGATTTAAATGATCATATGCAGTATTTAAATATTTTATAATTGAAAATTCAATAGTGGATTTTATTTAAACTATCATACGATAATACATAATTAAATAATTAAAATTTGTTGTTTTCAAGTTCTATTATAAATTGACATTGATCCAAAAGAATATATTATTGTCCAAACAATTATCTGAATTATTCTAGGATGCACATGATGCTTAAAACCAGTGTGTTACTGCATTAAAATAAAATTTTGTAATATATTACATATCTTGCTTAAAATATACAACTGTAAAATATACTGTATATTACCAGATAGAATATTTGTCAAAAAAAAAAAAACTGATACTATGTTCATGTATTCATTTTTATTATGAAAATATTTAACCAATATATGAGGCCACAAAGGGAAAACCGTATTTCTTATCGTTAAGGTTTTTCCCTTTGCGGCGCGCACATATATATTGTCACGGAGTTTATCAACACTCCGTGAACTACTTGACTTTTACTATCGGTCTTCACTCGCTTGGCTACTATCTACGATGACTGGAGTATCGTACCAGATACTACCACCAATGTTGTATTCACACAGGCAACAGTTTTATTCAAAGCTATGCGACAATAAGATTCTCGGATTTTAACTTTGAAGCCCCATTAATAAATTCTCTTTATACTTACTGACTGCAATGGATTAAATGAAATTAATGGTTGTAAACGTATTTATAAAATGAAATTTATATTAATATGAATAAATAAAGTTTTAGTAAATATTTACTAACTGCTGCAAATTAAACGAAATAAAATAAAGTTGAATAGTAAAACATTTATGAAATTGAATAACCTATTTTAATTATATATGGTAAAATAGGCCAATAAACTTTATACTTACAAACTGCGGTAGATTAGATGAAAACTTATAAAATTTTCTTAGCATTGAATAGTGCATAATTTTCAATTCACAAGGTCGTGTACACTTCAAAATTGGTTTTATGAATTTTATTTGATCAAATTTATTAATTATTAATTAAATTTAATAAAATTAAGATTTTGTTTTGGTTCTATTTTGATTACCCAACCCATTGATATAATTTCAAATTTTTATCTATTATCTCAGCCTTCTCTTCTCAGTCTGCTATCTTTCTTTTATGATTCTCATTCATTGCACGAATTGTTTCTTCGTTTTATAAATTGATTTCATCGATTATACAATGACTTACTTCAAAATCTTCAGAATCACTATCTACACGTAATTAGTAGCGTTAATAATAGATTAAATTTAGATGTCTACACCTTTTCAATTGCAAGTCTTAAGTATACATCCGTAACTAATGTTACGTAAATTCCTATCGTGATGCTTTTAGTAGATCTTGACATGGTGCTGTATAATCCAATTTCATCGACAAATTGACCTTATTTATTGGCTTCTATAGGTAGAATGTCGGTCGACGAAATGACTATTAGTGAAATCTACCAAAACCTCTTGACATCATTCTAAATTTTCTAATTTTGTCGACACTAACCTTTGCAGCCGTATAGTTCTTACATTGAACTAAAAATTAATACTTCTCGTGGTTTCCAAAAACATCAATACCCCATCACCATCTATATTAAAAAAAAAAAAAAAGGTGTATTCATATATGGTGGAGTATACAACTTATAATTATACTCGGAAATTAGTATGCATTCTAACCAAGATGCTAAAAATTCATCACCATTCTTTTAGATATTATCTAATTTATTAAAGGGAATCCATACAACCACAATCCCATATTCTGCGGTTTTGAGTTGGAATTCTTTAATGCAATCACCAATATTATTTCTACTTGTTCATCCTTGAGCCGTTCTCTGAGGATCACATGTCTAACACCTAACTGGCGATGTGTTATGCCGGCCATTTTCCATTATAATAACTTCTTTTGAACGAAATTCATTAAAGACCAACATACGTATACTTTAATGGTACTTTTTTTGCTTAATATGGGTCTTAAACTTATTACAGTATATAGGAAAATATAATTTATAAGTACATTAAAATAAAGATTCATATAATAATAAATAAATAAATATAGATTTTATCTTATATTACCTCTTCCAAAGATCCATTGAATTCTGAGAACTAATTCTGAGAACCATCCAATGTTTTAAATGTAATTATATATGGTGGCGTATAATTATATACTCAGAAAGTTGTATGTTATTTAACCAAGTTTCTAAAAATTTATCTAATTTAGTAATGGAGATCCTTTCGATCACATCCTACATATTCTGTGGTTTTAAGTTGAAATTCTTAAGGCAATCATCAATGTCCTTATTTCCGCTTGTCCATATTTGAGGTGTTCTCTGAGGACACATGTCTGACACCAAGAGTGTTATATCAATACAGCCATCAGATAATCTATATCAAAGAAAAAGGAAAAGTAAGTAGATGTCATCATAATCATCAAGGATATAAACGTTCCGAGTGACTGAACATCAAAGCATTTATCCATGCATCCTATTCACCACAGCCCCAGAAGTCAATCAATGGCCTCGTGTAAGCGAAATACACAGCAGCTTTTCGGATTATATATAAATCAGAGAAGGACGTTCACAGATCTGGTTATTCCAGTCAAAATAACTACCTGAGGCCACGATGCGCTTCCAGTTCTCTGCTTATTATATAATCCTAGTGGCAGCGTAATTTCAGATGCATAACGACTAAATAACTACTTAATAAGATTATTATCTTACCTTGCTCTTTGACAACCAATCTTCTTAATCTTTTTAAAGTTTCTGAAAACTATAAATTCAACTCCATTCACTTCCTGATGTAGAGGACAAAGTAACGATAGGAGGATTCTATTTAAAATCTCCCGATCCGTAAAAATAAATCTACCTAGAAAAAGAGGTAATTATTTATAAAAGTCCTAAATAAAAATAAATTACATATTTTATAACTACCGAATGCAATTATCATAAAATCTTCATATAATATTGCGGAATGGCATGTGAGCGATGATGAAGGTGCTGTTATAGTATTGTAATTATTCGGAATAGTCCATTCAAATGGATAACTATTAGTATTCAATACTGCAAGATCTGGTATAGCTGTAAGGGTCAAGTTGGTGTTCGAACCTCCGTATATAATAATTTTAGAATCTAGAGCTAATCAAAAATACCAAATTAGTAAATTATTCACTGAGCTTAGTAAAGTTGAATATATACTTAAAACAGCCGAATGAAAGCAGCGCACTCCAATAGAATCACCTCCGACGGCAATCTATATTATTTAATACCTGTCAGTATCAAATAATGTACTCTTTCTTTTTTTAAAAAAAAAGAAAATCCACAATTACTTACAATATTATACCAAATCAAAGAGTTAGTATCAAATATTTGAATCTGAGATTGGATAATTTGATTAAGAGTTTGATGTATAAATACTTAAAAAAATGGTTAAAATATTACCTCATTCATGTTAATATAATCAGATGTTGAACGACCACCAATATAAGTAATATTTCCATTTTTGAGTAAAGTAGCAGTATAACTTGCTCTTGAACTGGTAATTTTAAAAGTATTCAACGACATATTTTTTATATATAAAATGCCCATTTTATTGCAGATAGGTCCGGACAAGTTTTGCCTTCCACCATAAAAAAAAATTCTTCCGGCCTCATCATTAATAGACTGTAATCCACCACATATTCCGAAATTATCTATTCCTTCAATGTTTTGTACTGTCCAGCTTAGATTGTTTAAATTATATTTATATGCCGACTGATATGATACAGAGCTTTGCGTTTTTTGGATCGACCATAACTCCACCAATTAAAAAAATAGACGACTTATCGATGGAAATGAATGAACTACTAAGAGCGTTTGCCAAAGGACTTCCTATTTGATCATTATTCCACAAAGGCGAACTAGTGTCAAGTGAGCTTGATAAACTTAAATATACTACTTCATTAGTTTTATTAGTATCGACATTATTTCCAATAACTCCACCAAAGAAATACCATTTAGAATTATTAACTAAAACACTTGTTTGAAGATAACGAGGAATAGGAATAAATTGGCAAGTAACTAGAAAGATAGATACCAAATGTAAAGTAAAAAGCGAGTAAAAAAAATTCATGTTGAAATTAACGCATATAAATTAATCTGATATAGAAATGATTCATTCAGTAAATGGTGGTCTGATAGAAATTCTCAAAATAATCGTATATGCAAGATTTTTATGTAAATATGGTAGACAAAAACCAAAATTGGCTAAATTATAATTATTAGGGTGCTTTTTTTTAAGGGATAGCTTTAACAAAAAAGTATAGATGGGTTTAATAGCTGTAAGTACATAACGATAGCACTACATATCTATTTGCATATTTTGTTTCACTGATCATAGCAAAGTAAATTTTTATTTTTATTTTTTGCTTTTGATTTTTGTTGCAAGAAGCATTACTAACCTGCTATTTATTATACAGTACTATCTGGTATTCCTAAGCTATTAAATTCTATTAGAAAATACTTTATGACATAATCAATTGTCCTATAGAGTTAGATTTAGATCCCTAGATCGACATAATTGACAGATAACAGATAAATTTCGAAATATGAAATGTAATTATTTGAATTATTTGAGTTGTAACCTATTCACAGCTTAACACACAAATGTCAAAATGATATTTGCAGTTAACTATTCAGAGCAACTAGATGCATATTTGAAAGACAAAGATGTGAAAGTTTTTGATCACTCGCAATTTGAAGATCTCATAAAAATTGGGTGTGGTGCATTTGGAACTGTGTATTCGGCAACTTACCAAGGTATAGGGTACGCGTTAAAAAGTTTAAAAAAGAATTTGAAACTTGAAGAAAAAGAGTTTGAGGATTTCAAACATGAGGTAACGTGTTATAATTATTTTCTCTAATGTCAATTCAGAGCGAAGCAAACTTTGGTTTAATAAAATAGAGTTATCAATTCATCGCCAAAACTATAGTTTAGGATTTTTCCAGCAAGTATACATGTAACTCAGAATTTTATCTATGAAGCTACTTTATGTTCTCTAACAAAAAATAACCCTGTAAAATTTTAGATTAGATATCCTTTGATTATTGCTTACCTTAATTTTATCCTACCGTAATTTTAATATTGACATTATTTTATATAATCATTTGCTTAGATGAATTATAGCTCTCTTTAATGAAAATTTTAAACCTATTAAACCGTAATTTGCTATTTTTCGTCCATCTTTTATATTAATGTACCGTAACATTTACATGTACAGTATTGGATATTGTTATCAAAATGGAATTGGAGTTGAAAAAGATGAACATAAGGCATTCATTTATTATCAAAAATCTGCTGATATGGGAAATATTACCGCAATAAATGATCTTGGATACTGTTATAATAAAGGAATAGGTATTGAAAAGGATGAAAATAAAGCATTTATGCATTATCAAAAATCTGCTGAGATGGGTAATATTTGTGGAACATTTTATGTTGGATATTGTTATCAAGTTGGAATTGGAGTTGAAAAGGATGAATATAAGGCATTTATTCATTATCAAAAATCTGCTGAGATGGGGGATGTTAGTGGAACATTTCTGGTTGGATATTGTTATGAAAATGGAATTGGAGTTGAAAAGAACGAATGTAGTGCTTTTATTTATTATCAAAAATCAGCCGATATGGGTAATACTAATGGAATAAATTGGCTTGGAAATTGCTATAAAGATGGAATAGGAGTTGAAAAGGATGAACTAAAGGCATTTATTCATTATCAAAAATCTGTCGATATGGGAGATACTACTGCAATGAATAACCTTGCATATTGTTATCAAGAGGGGATTGGAGTTGAAAAGGATGAACTTAAGGCGTTTATTCATTATCAAAAATCAGCCGATATGGGAAATGCCAATGGAATATATAATCTTGCAGATTGTTATCGAAGTGGAACAGGAGTCGAAAAAGATGAACGTAAGGCATCCATTTATTATCAAAAATCTGCTGATATGGGAAATATTACCGCAATAAATGATCTTGGATACTGTTATGATAAAGGAATAGGTGTTGAAAAGGATGAACATAAGGCATTTATTTATTATCAAAAATCTGCCAGTATGGGAAATAGTACTGCAATGAATAACCTTGCAATTTGTTATAGAGACGGAATAGGAGTTGAAAAAGATAAATGTAAGGAATTTATTTATTATCAAAAATCTGCTGATATAGGTAACGCTAATGGAACACATAATGTTGGTTGTTGTTATCAAAATGGAATTGGTGTTGAAAAGGGTGAACGTAAGGCATTCATTTATTATCAAAAATCTGCTGGTATGGGAAATACTACCTCAATAAATGATCTTGGATACTGTTATACTAAAGGAATAGGAGTTGAAAAGGACGAACATAAGGCATTTATTTATTATCAAAAATCTGCCGGTATGGGAAATAGTACTGCAATGAAGAATCTTGCAAATTGTTATAGAGACGGAATAGGAGTTGAAAAAGATGAATGTAAGGAATTCATTTATTATCAAAAATCTGCTGATATGGGTAATATTGATGGAACTTATATGGTTGGTTATTGTTATGATGAAGGAATTGGTGTTACTAAAGATAATTGCAAAGCATTTATCTATTATAAAAAATCTGCTGATATGGGATATGATAGTGGGATATATAATGTTGGTAAATGTTATCTAAATGGAATTGGAGTTGAAAAGGATGAAAGCAATGCATTGATTTATTTTCAAAAATCTGCTGAGATGGGCGTTATTCCTGCAATGGAACAAGTTGGTAATTGTTATCGAAATGGAATTGGTGTGTTAAGAGATATGCAAACTGTCAATATTTGGTATCTTAGGTAAATAAGTTATTACTCTTATTACTCTTTTTTTTTTTATTTAATCACTTATAAGCTTTTAAATAAATAGAGCAAAAGCCCATTTATCAGGTAATTTTTTTAGTCAAGAAGATTTAGTTTATTTACTTGTAACTAGTATCACTTTAAGTCCTACGATTTTAGTTAAAAATGAACAGATGCATGAAAATCCAGATATTGAAGATGACTTAAAAAAAGTGCTTAATGAAAGCAAATATCAATTAGCATGGATTCCTTATAAAACGTTTAAAGATATTAAAATGATAGGAAAAGGCGGGTTTGCAACAGTATATTTTGCTAAGTGGTTAGATCCAAATCGAATGAGCAGAGTCCCTGTTGCACTTAAATTGCTACATGGGTCGAAAGAATATCACGAAGAATTTATGAAAGAGGTAATTATTTTAACTGCTCTAAAATTTTATTATGTATATTTTTTGTATTTATTTGCTAACAATATTAAAGTTAAAAGCATACTGCGATATTGGCTGTGAAAATCCATCATTTTTAAAATGTTATGGAATATCGAAAGATGATATTTCCAAAGATTATATTATTGTTATGAAATATATGGAAATGGGATCATTGCGTGAAAACATTTGGCATATTGCACAAATGGAATGGGAAAAGAAATTAACACTCTTAATTTGCATTGCTTCAGATCTTCATGCAATTCATTCAAAAAATCTAATTCATCGAGACTTACATATTGGTAATATTTTGCAAGATAGTTTAGATAGTGCGAATATTTCCGATTTGGGACTTTCAATACCATTAATATAGCAATAAAGACAGAAAAAAAATTTAGCGTTTTACCATATGTAGCACCAGAGATTTTGATCAGTGGACAATACACAAAAGCAGCTGACATTTACTCATTTGGCATAATTATGTTTGAAATTTTTTCCGGAAAACCTGTAGAATATGACCAAATATCCACTATAATTCAGAAATGCAATGATTTGTGGCTACAAATTCTTGAAAGCACATCACCGCGTTATGGAAATCTTATGAAAAGATGTTGTGATATAAAACCAGAAAGACGTCCATCAGCTGCAGAAATTCGTGATATTTTAACAGAGTGGAAAAATAATAAAGAGATTTTACTTGAATTTGAAAATATTAAACATATAGATTTACAAACGCATTCTGAAACAAGCTACAAACATAAGTTCCAACTTATGGAGGATAAAGGTAAATGAAAATGATATCTGGAACAATCCAATTTTAAATTATGATTTTAATTTATATTTTCATAGTTTCAGCAAAATTCTATTTGACAAATGAATTAAAATCATCTCCCTTTGAAAAGAAAAATGACAGTGCCTAATTAGTGATTGGACCCATCCTAAAAATTTGAGTACACTTTAGACGTTCTAAATTTTTGTAACTTGGTTATCAACTTTCTTTTCCTAATTCTAAAAAATTTAAATGTACACTCCATTCTTCCATAACATATATTGTAATTATATATATATATTTCTGTTCTATTTTAAACTAGTTAGTATAATCGCGAAAACTGTGTATTTTCCGTGAATATAGTCAATACTTTAATACTTTAATACGCATATGCGTCATTTTCTCATTTGATAAAACATATAGGTTTCCAATATTCATGATAGATTCTTGGAACAAAGAAAATGAGTGTTCTTTAACATCAAAATTCTTTGTGCTTTACTGCAAATGGTCTTTTGTCCGAATGGTACTATAATTGGAATTCTTGCGAATATATCAATAAATTAATATTTGTACATGTCATTTTCTCATTATATGATTTAACATTAATTGGTTTTCCAATATTTGTGTGTAAGTTCTTGAAACCAAGAAAATGAATTTTTATTGCCAAAATTCTTTGCGCTTTACTGCAAAAGTTTTTTGTCCAAATGGTTAAATTTTGTACTAACATTTAAGTTTATACTGATCTTAACAGTTAAAATATGTTTATAAAATATTGAAACAAAGAAAAGCTTTACTATTAAAAATAAATTTCAAAAGAAACATGAAAATACGCCTAATTATTGGAACGGCATAGAGTGCATACATTTCGCGTATGTTGAAAAAACTGCATTACCACAAAAAATTCCGTATAAATAACAGATAAAGGTTTTTTAAAATTTATATAGTTCAAAACACTAATATTTACGTGGCAAGTCGACACGTCATATTATTAGAGGGTATTAACATTTAAACTAAGAAGCCATAATTACTGTATAGATGTCAATCGATTTTTTTTTATTACGAATCTAGATATTCGTTAATTTCTATAAAAACATATACCGTATTTCGAATAATAACACTCATGAGCATTATTTCGAAAATCATGCCCCCAAAAATATTATTTATATCGATATAGTTTCAAAATAACGTCCATACGTCCCAAAATAGCACGCACTCCATAATAAAGGATATTTATTTATAGTAATATTTAAAAAAATACTGTACATCGGAACTGGATTTCGTACTAAGTAAACCTTCCTTCGAGCTTAACAAAAGTTGTTCTTTAGAACAACTTTTGTTAAGCTCGAAGGAAGGTTTACTTAGTACGAAATCCAATTCCGAGGCATTTATTTTAAATCTTACTATAAATAAACATCTCTTACTATGGGTCGCACTATTTTGGGGCGTTATTTTGAAACCATAAATAATTTTTAGGGGCTCGGCTTTCGAAATAACGCTCATGAGTGTTATTACGCGAAAATACGGTATTCAATATTCCTCTGAAATAAAAAAAAATGTAAATTTTAATTTAAATAACGTTATGTATGAACAAAATTAACTAACTTGTATTGTTCTTTAGTTTGTGAATAGATATTAATAGAAATATTTATTGTATTCTTATATGGCCGACACCGAATCATTCTAATTTAAAATGATTTATAATAATTAATAAACTCAGTTATAAATTCTGTTAGTTATTTTTTCTCTAAAAATTAATTTTTAAGGATCTGTAACAAAAATACTTAAAGTTTGGAGGTTGTCACTTATTTAAAGTATGGCAAGATCAATTTTTAAATACTCAGAAAATGATGTGTTATCTGTACGTCTTAGTGGTGTTGATAAAAATAACAAAGGATGGTTTGCTCGAGAAATGCAGCAGCATGACATACAAAATTATGAATGTTTATTATCTAATGCAAATATTACGAAATAATGTATCACGATAGGCAACTAAAAAGTAATGAAATTGAATTTATAATAAATAACGAATATCGAATTAGACAACCTAAAGGTGCACTCACCATTCTTGATGAACAAAGTAATTTCATAGGATTCATAAGATCTAAACCTGAAAAAAAAGGTAGATTAGAAATAGCCTTTGCATTATCTCACAAATACTGAGATAGAGGAATTGGGCAATCAGTTTTAGGTAAGATGGTTAATGAATGGGGTCCTAAAGTACGCAGAATTGGTTTAGGAGAAAATGCTATACTTTTGGCGCAGTATTTGCAAGAATGTCGAAATCCATTAATTTCATTGGTCAATTGCAGTCACATGAAAATTG